AGCCCCTTAACTCAGAAGGTAATTCCCACAAGTGGTGACTGGTTAGGTTATTCTGCTGGGATAACCAACATCTGGTGTGCTACTCATTCCATACTGTTCTTCACTTTTGGAGTCTTTTTTTTTGCTAGAACAAAGGAGCTCAGTTTAATGGCACTAGCTATCTTCCCTAACGCATTCTAGAACGCCACATGTGGACAATTTAGTACTTACTTCTCAACAAGTTAGCCACCTGATCTGTATGGAAGCCATAGATGAAACATAACAAACTTTAAAAAAAGTAAGACTTTTGGTTTACACCAAACCTTTAAATTTTCTGAGGATAATTCTTTACACAACACATATTCTATGCATGCAAGGTTAATGGAAACCTTATTCCTTCCTATCCTATGCTACTGGTTGCCATCAGGGCTGGCACTTGTAGCACCTAATCATTGTCCCTCAGCATTTCTAAAACAATGACAGTAATGGCAACTTTTGTCAAAACCCATTAAAAACATTCCCTGCTCTCCTCTGTTTTTACTGGGCCTCCAGAAATTCAGCAGTGGGCCGCACACTTAACGCAAGTGGATCCCTCCAGTAAAATAGGCTGTGCTAAGGAAGGTGAGCAGGAGGCAACCAGAGAACAGGAAGCAGTGATGTAACCAGAAGGCACAGGGATGGAGTCTACTCAAGATTCTTCTTTTTTTTTTTTTTTTTTTTTTTTTTTTTTTTTTTTCCTACATCAATATCAGTAAAGATGCCATGTGCAGGAAATATTTTGTGTAACAGAAGAAAACTCACAACTACATTTCAAAGACTTTTGGCAAGACTATTTAGAAACGCAGCCCTGGACATTGAATATATCTGGATTATCAGCTAGGAATCCAAACTTAGCATACCTTTGGGAACTGTTTTTCCTAATTTAAAATCCACTTGGAGCCCAAGAACACAAAGAACTAAAGAGAACTAATGTTTCTGCTATTTCAAGAACTGGACTGCTCTACTTTCACTCACCCTTAAAAACCCTGCCTCTTGAACAAAGATGGCTTTGGGCAGAAATTAAAGTGAAGACCTAGGATGCAGTCATTCAGGCTCATAGTCCAAAAATAAAGTCTTAAGACAAGAGTCTGCCAGACTGCTATGCACAGAACATGCCTGTTTACACGAATAAGTTTTCCAAACATGGGTGTTCCCCACCACAGAACTGAGCTATCCTTGCTCTCTTGGGATGGCTTTAATTTTGTTTTTCAGAAGTGTTCGGTTCAGAAGCAGAATCAGGTTTTTAGTGAGGTCCAGGTTTCTACAGAGATATTTTGCTGAGCTGGCAAGGATGAGTCAATAAGCTCAGTCTATGCTCAACTCTAGAATCCCGTTGGCTCCCAGTCCTCCCCTCTAAACCCTTAGACCACACAGCTTCCTTTTCACTTAAACCCGAGACCACAGAGCTTCCTATTCACCTGCTAGCCAGTTAAATCTCATGCCATATAGTGCTTCAGTATATAACAGTACACAGATCCCTCCGTACACCTCTCACCTGTGCTTTTCCAGGATTCGAAATGCAGATGATCAGTGTGAAAGCAGTCAGTATCCTGTAATGTGCACAGAAAATAGGCTGAAAACCTTCTGATAACCAGGCTCATTATACAGAATTAATTACACACAGACAAACTAATCTCTAGTGACATTTCAGTGCATTCCAGAGTTTTTTGCTAATATGTATTTGGCCTCTGGAGAGGGAGTAATGCAACTGTGAGCCACATGCAGATCTCAGTCAGTAATTTTACTACAATTTTATAGAACTGTGACTAAAATCAGACTGTACTTGTCAACTAACTAATCTGTTTTTTATGACATTTCCATGGAGAAGCTGTTTGATGAGGAAGTGCATAATATTCAATAGAGCATTGTTGCCCCCTCTGTGGCACCTTTCTTTTGACAACAAAAAGTTTTTCATGCGTGTTATTTGCTTTTTACAGATGGGTAAACCAGAGCACAGGCCATGGCTAAGCTCATCGTGCAACTCACTGGCAGGGCCGCAGATGACATGCAGGAGGTCCTGAATCCAAGCCAGTTGCACTAACCGCTAAACCACACTTCATCCCCTGGAGACTATATTTGAGATTAATCTATTTTCTTAGGGTCCGATTCTGTCCTTCTCTCCAGTCCTCAGTGATATGTTGCTCTGCAAGTACATACACTGTGCCAGGTCATCAGATACTGGAAGCTGCTATCCTTAGTGAAGATCTCCCACTGTATCACCTCGGCACCTACTGGGGCTTGCTGGGTCTCTTTGCTGCAACTGACAGAGGAGAGTCCCTCACTAACAGCTCTGTGGCTATACACAAGACTCTTCACCTGGAGCATGGAAGTTCTCCAGTCAGCTAACCTGCACCCCTATGTATTTATTCACTGACAGAAAACCAGGAAAGGACAGCAAGAATTGATTTTTCTCTACGTACTGTTTGTTTCAGTCCTCCTTATATAAAGTTTCTTATCAATACAGTTAAACCTAAATCTTGCATAGCTTGGATTCTAGTTTTGAATGGCAATTGTATATGTTTCCCACAAACCAGCACAGAAATCACAAGATATTTTAGGTAATCTTAGTTCTGCTACTTCAGTGAGCTGCCAACTTTCTCTTTTAGCGCTGTCTCCAATTTCCAGTGCAAAGTGAGCTGCCGAACAAGAGCTACAAATGCCTCAGACAAAACCACGCACAGAGACTGACACATTTGAACACATTTGCTTCGAGCGTGGAGACAGACACAAGCTCTGAAAAGCTTGATTCTTTAAGCCTTTTTGAAGTCATTTTAAAGTAGCACAGAATACAAAGACTGTGCCCTCACTTTGCATGTGGCAAGGAAGTACAACAGGTTGTAGCCGAACACTAACACACCTAGCTGCCTCGCATACCTGGGGCTGCACTTTGCGTTATTGCAGAGCAGTGCAAATTAACAAAACCCACTGTAAAGTCAGTCAGACAAAATTCGTATTTTTTCTAGATGTCTAGACACTGTTACAGGATAATATATACTTCCCTCCTGGGGTGAAGAGTGACCTTATTGCCTCATACGTGTTCTGTCTGCATCACAATTTGCCCGTTACTGAGCTCTCATGTCCCCTCAAGTTATTAACAGACATGCAGCACACCCTGTCAGTGCTACATTCAACTGGTCACAGTAGCTTGTCTGGTAGGCAGAGTATTTTAAAGTAGTAATTAACTTCTGCAGTGGTAACTTATTAGCTTCAAATTAATCACTGCAGCCAGGGGACCCATTTGCTGTTGTAATTCAGCACTCCTACAGATGCTGGGATTCTTAAAGTGCAGAATATAAGCACGCATCAAGAAGAAAATAGAGAGAGTGCAGCTTTAATAACGGTTTGTCTTTCCCCTCCTCTGACCATTGAGATCCCTTCTCCGTGCAAATGGCTTTAGCAAGTGGATTGGCGTACCGAATCCTTGCCACAGATATTTTCCACACGTAGCTTTCCCTTCAGTAAGTACAGAAGTTTCATGCATAGCACTTACCTTTTTAATCCTTGCATGTCCAAAACCGTTGGGGAAAGGTGGAAAAAAACAGAGCTTATGCTGATGAATAACTAGAAAGTGTTTCCAAACATTACCCTCTGCTAGTACTTCAGTTCCTCAGTCATTTATAGTCCAAAGAATGAAAGAGCAAGTAACGGAGAAGATCGGGAGCAGTCTGTACCTCCTCAGACTCTGGAGAGAATACAGAGAAAGCACCTGGTTTTGCTTAGTTCTCTTCTGTAATTCAGCATTAAACCAATTGGAGGAGGAATGTTAAAAATGAACACTTCATTTTCTAAGTATGTTAAACAATGCAAATGGGGGCCTCAGCCTGGGACAGCTGGTTTAGATTACAAAGCTCACCAACTGGCTAGACTCCTCACAACAATCTCGAGGAGCCTGCCAGGATAAAACACTAACAGCTTGAAGGAAAGCCTCTCCCGCTGCAAACTTCTCAGTTAAATGTGCCTCAGAGCAGAGAGCACCGTTATTGGACAGAAACTCTTATCAGGGGACTGGAGAAGGGAAGGGATTGTTTTCCTTGTTCTGAGAACAAAAAAGTCAGACTTTTTGAGGCCCTCTAGCTGGTGTCTCGGACGATGAATATGCAACACCCGCTGCTTCGTGCCAATGGCATTGCGATGAAAGTTCTGACCCTCTGGGAGGTGAATAACTTGAATTCATGACAATCACAGCTACAGGAACTATATTCCTTAGGGATTATTTGAAAACAGGAATAAACAAATTAAACGTTCAAAGGAAAGCAAATGGTTTGTCTACAAACACTGGTCCTTTTTAGGCTGACCCCATGCTTAAGGGGGCAGTTTTGAAATGAAATTTCTCAGGAAAGACATATCTTGCAGATCTCTAGTTATGAGTGAAGAGGAAGGAAATACGGTCCCTTTTCAGGTGTTTTGCAACTTTGCCCCAGGCACAACTTTGGTAGGTCAAGCAGAACACTTGTGAGATGTGAGAGGTAAGCAAGCAGATGCTGCAAAGATTATCCTAGACCCAAAGACAAACACAGAAATTAAATGCAGACGTAAACATAAAATGAATACTTTGAACTTCTGTAGAGCTTCCATCTGGGAAAATCTTTAATTCCCAAGGAACTAAAAAGTCTGACAAGATCAAATCTCTGTCGCATCTCTCCATTATTATGGAGAAACAGTTAGAACAGATTTTTCTAAAACTGGCTTCAAAGTGTGGATACACAGCGTAAGAAACAAAGATTCAGCTGCTTCAGGGCTGCTGAGCACCCAGAAGTCATTGGTGCTAATGGAACAAGAGCTCCATATCTCGCCAGCTGGTTGTGATTGTCCAAATGATTAACAAACAAACAAACAAACAAATTACAGCACCAGAAACTCAGTGCTGCTTTTGACAGCTTGTCTCTCAGTGACTCGCTTACATCACTCGCATTGCATGGAAATGTAAACTCTCCCCTAGGGTGTCAATATATTGCAGGCCAACAAGAACCAATTAATTTATTTTAAATAAATTTCTCCAGGGCTTAAGAAAAAAACACACAAGAATTCTGGCAAAGCTGGTCATGTTTTTTTTCACGGATCAGAAAATCAGCAAAAACTGGGTGAGTTTTCATGTAGGCAAAAGTTAACGGTCAGAAGAGTCGTCATTCCATCATAGACCAGAGTTGCTCAATGATCTGGAGAGCTAGCAAGCCTACAAGTCACCATGCTTGTTATATTCTAAGTGCATGAAGATTCACGGAAGCTATTAGAAACATCTCTACAGCAAAGCAGATGCTCTGATGATCCATACTTGTGGATGAACTTGTTTCATATCCTTCTTAATACTTCATTTGTTGATCCATGGAAGTTTTCTTGCTTTCCATGGCAAAATCATTAATGCATGCCAGAATCTCGGCATGGGTGCAGCACAAGTCTGTTCCTGGCTCAGACTGAAGAGCTCTGATTCATCAGCCATCTGGAAGAGGTGCTCCAGTACTGGAAATGGGAGGTAAATCCAGATTCAATCAGCTAAGCGGCTCCCCTAAGAAGGGATACTGTACAAATGTTTTGATTTTTCTTTTCTCAATAAGGCAGCTGGAGTGGATAAAATCCAGAGTATAAAAAGAGTACCAAACCACATCTTGGTTTAGTTCATAACATAGTGATTTTTATTTTTTTTATTTTTCCTAAATAAAAGGATTTGTTATGGCTAAGTGAATTTTTTTGCAGTACCTTTTGGTAGCTACTACCTGCCATAAAATAATGAGTTGTAGCCAAACCATACTCATATCTGTCTTTGATAAGAAGAATTGCATAAAGAAAAGCATTTTTGGTACACAAAAACTCTTTTGTTCACCCTGTAAAAGTGGGTACTATTCAATGTACCTTTCAACACCACCTGCTGACATCCTCACCATGTGCAGGATGGTGGTGAGACTTCAGGTGGAGCAGCACACTTATTTCAATGGTCAACTGTTTCCTCATGTTCCAAAATCCACTAGTTCAGATTACCGTGACTTTGTCTTCTTGAGGAGGTGTAGAATAATTCACAGTACAGAATCGGGTTCTGTTAAGTAATGGAATATGGTCTTGAAAACTTGCTTTGCACATAGCTAGAGTTGAGACCATAGCTCTAACTATGTTTAAGACATACATTTTGAAAATCGTGTAATATATGAACATAAAGGGCACACAAGTTACATGGTATCCCCTAAACTCTACCCTACTTGGATGAGAAAGTGGAATGTATGAATTGTGCCATGCTCCTGTAGGTAATGCAGAACACTGCAGTAACAGTGATCCACAACACTGGAGAATGTGACAAAACAGCTTCTGAATGCAAAGACAAAAGCTGTATTTAGGTCACAGTACCCAGTGAGAGTTAATTACACTCAGCATTCCTGAACAAAAAAGTCTGCTTCACAAATACAAGTCATATTCTACCTTTACTACATTTCATCTCCTTTTCAAGTTCTGCTATTACATTTACTTCTCTAGAACTGTATCAGCCAAAAATGTTTCTTAGCTCTTGTGAATTTTTTTTAGAAGTTCACCCTCTCTGAACATTCCCAAGGACATTGTCAAACTGTGAGAGCAGTCAAATTATGCAGATACGTGTGGCGATAGGTGTGCAAGCCTAAACATACTGAAAATAACAAGTCATAGACATCTTTTACCGTCCCACAGACCTGAATTCAGGACTTTGCCAATAACTGACACTGTAAGGGCCTATGTCCAAATGTTAGATGGTTAAAACATTCATTTGTTTCTTTACAAAATCTTCTGGGACCAAATTTCCTAACAGAAAAACTGGTAAAACACTTAAAGTATGACTGCTGGGCATTTGCAGAAACAATTGCATTTAGACATCAGCCAGGCATCAATGAGATTCACAGGCTGGGATCAATCTGACTTTGGAGGTTGATTAAAGCATTCCCAGAGATAACTAAATAAGAAAGTTTCTGATGTTGTCATGTATCAATACAACATGTGACAGGCAGCAATCTGAAATACACTCATCTCCCCCTAATGCCACCTGAATAACACTGAGCATGTGGGAAATTTGGTCTCAAGCCCTAATTCTGCATGAAAAGTACCAGGCTTGTTTCTTCCACCTCTCGGTACAGAATTGCAGTTGAATACTCTTGGTGTTCGGGGAGTCTTCCCTCTCCTTTTCAAAGATAGATTATGTCATGCTATCTGCTGAGGTCAGCTTCACCCAGTGTCTGAAATAAATGCTGTCTCATAACACGAATAGCATAATAACCTGATCCAGATGGCTCAGACTAGAAGCTCAGAAACATATTTCCCTGCCATATTTTCCTTCCCTAGCCAAATACAACACAGGCTATAATTAACAGTGAAAATTAACTTAATACGTAACTTCAAAAACATGGCTGGTGCTAACTAGAACATATAGAGTCTCTGAGATATCCCATCATGTTGCACTGATCTGCAGGTTACGCTGCTGTCATTAGGAAGGAGATGACATAACATTTCCTGATACACTGCCATCTCTGTGGGTACAGTTGTCTCTATACAGTAAAGTTACCATCTATGTGAGATACCCATAGAAAAAAGAGCCAGTGCAGCATCCCTTCCTTCCCTCCTCTGTGGGGGTGTTATTTGTCTGAAGCAGGCTTTCTCTATGGCTGACAGCACTGTATGATGCAGTACTGCTGCTGCTATCACTTCTCCCCAGAAACAATAAGTGTGGTGCCATTTTAATGTTTGCTGCAAATATTCTCTGACAACTCCATCAGACCTCATAATCTGGTGTTTCAGTTTTGCCTTATCTAACTTCTTGTATATCTGCTGATCTTTGGTTGCTCTGATGCTTGTTTCTAACAGCACATTTATTTTAAATAAAAAAGTAATCAATGGAAAACTCAGGCACCACTGGCTCCATTCTGCAGTGCAGCAACACGAAATGTGGGCTCTGACTGAATTACTCTATAAACATATTATTCATCCCTTGAAATAAGGAATAGTAGGACCTAGCAGGTATGTAACAAAACCCAAACAGCTTAAATGAATGCCCTAATAACTACATCAGCTGTAAGACAAAACTACCTCAGGTATATTTCCTTTAGTGAGACCAAGTCTGATGTTCACTTGCTTAGCTATAGTCTTTTCTTTCTCCTTGGAAAAATGCTTACCTTTTGTTTCTTTTTTCCCCCAGCTAAAAGTAAAGCAAACAAGCAAACAAAAAGGTTTTGATAACTTTTCCAGGAAAAATACAGGCTCTTTCATAGCAATTTTGGTGCATGTGACAACCCCCAGCAGGTTCCTTAGTGTTACTGTTAATTTCTATCAGCTTACAACATTCATTCTTTTATTCTTCATTTTTTGAACTTTATATGACCTACATTTATGCCTTTAAAACTATATTACTGTTAAAAGCACATAGAGTATCACCTTGTACACAAGGACAGAATATCTCCTTCAGAACTGACAGCTTCACCATAACATGTTGGCATGTGAGGTTACAACGCTCAGGCCTATGTTTCACCACTGGGATATGCCCATTTTTTTTCTTTAGAATCTCGTGTTTGAGTACAGCTCTAGAAACTGCAGTTCACATTTTGCCTGAAACTAGACAGACATTCCAGTTTGTTCTTTATAAGATTGGCATGTAGATTATCTAGGCTGTAGTCTTCACTGCATTTCTATCAAATGCTCTGGACAGTGTGGCTGAAAACAATGCTCTTTAATCTCGTGATGTTTACCAGCCCCCTTTAGAAGGAAGCATGAATTCTTTATAACCAATTTCAGCTGAGAATGACCTCCCATAAATAAAAACATAAAACTGCTAATACCTCTGGATTGGGACTTAAGTCTGTTTTGCAATATGAGCAAGCCAACATCCAATCCTTGCAAGTGCCTGTGATACATTGGCCATTAGTCTCCAATTATGATCAGACAGTTGGAAATATGTACTATGTCTCCCTTAGAAATATTCAGGACCAATTTGTTGTATCTTTAAATGCCTTAAGACTGCACTGTTTTTTGCAGTTTCTCAAGTTCTTTCCTCACTTATGCCCAGTATGTTTGCTGTGGTGCACGTCTGTTCCCAACAGCATCAGGCTTCACATCAGAACAGCCAGCTTGTGACAGCAGCTCAGCATTCCACAGTCCTGGAAGCATTCCCTGCCTGCAGGAACATGTATGCTGGTAAAGCTTCAGCTTCACCTGTGCTCCCTCCTCTCTCAGCTACATTATTTCCATCACACGAAATTAACATTTTTGGTATTTTTTCCCCCAGATGTAGCTGAGCAGCCTTTCTCCTTTTTCTTTGATATTTCTTTTAGTTTGCTTAGCAATTCATTTTAATCCACAGCAAGACATTATCCTCTATAGCAATAAGCACTTACTGCATTTTCCATTAAAACACTTCAGGTTCAGAGCAAACCCAAACAAGCCTGTGGAAATGCCATCTCCCAGAGAGGGTGTTTGAGTGTTCTCAAGTGCATTATTTTGGTAAGGACACCTGGCAGAACCCTGCTGATGAACCCAGAGCAGAAAAATATTTGAGATCATACCTCTCTTCCAGAGCTTGTCTCTTTTCAGGCAGTGGAAAACATTCCCCTTTTGAACACGTTTCACACTTATAGATGTACCTATAAGCAATTAATTCCAATAAAACGATCAACAAGGTGCCTACACTTTTTGGATCCTTTCCTTATCCAATGGTGTTATGTGTTAGATAACTATCTATCACTGCTTTAGACAAACACAGAACTGGCAGAACATTCCTGTGTGAGGAAAGGTCTAGTTTTGACTCACTTTTGTACTTACTCAATTGCTTTCCCAATGATTTAAGAAGACATTTTAAAACTTCCGTCAGTCATTTTGGATTTTGTTTTGTAGTAAGTAGTCTTCTAGGTCAGATGTATAATAAAAGAGAGTGTTTGGTTTTTTGTTTTTTGGTGGGTTTTTTTTGTTGTTTGTTTTGGGTTTTTTTCTTAAAAGTGATTTTCTACTCCATTGCTACAAATTGTATCTTTTTTTCTTTACATTTACCTATTCGCAAAGGAGGGATTACACCATTTCATAATTTACCTGCTAGTTTGGGGTTTCATGAGTTAAGTAGACCATTTGGAAACAAATTGGCTATGAAAATGGGAACACCTAATTGTTTTCAAACTCATTTGTCACCATGCAGCAATGAGGACTCTGAAACTGAAGAAATGTAGAGTTCTGTGGGTACCATTTCTGCAAGGAATCCCACTGAGCAGGGGATGCTCAGAGTAGAACTCTGCTAGCACTGCTGTGCATGTGCTGCAATACTCACCAAGTCTTGCAAAAGGATGCAATTTACTGTACAGATTGTCTCTTTTGCCATTGTCTTTTGCTTTGACTTGTGCTGGTTATCACAGCACAACTTACTCAGCAGGACTGGCATTTCTCCCTGCAGAAGCAATGTAGCTTTTCTGAGTAGCTCCACTCCATCCTGGTGCGGCTGAGGCTAAGAACCTTAAGAAGCCATGCAGAAAACTAGTGGAACCGGACTCTTCTCTTTACTGAGGTGCTTGCATGGCTAACAGACCCCACTGCTGGATCCTGATAAAGCAATCAGTCCCATTTTGTTCACTGTTTTAGAGCAAAAATCAAGAAGCTGGATTTGTGCCGCATGAAAATAGAAAGGAACAAGAACACTGACAGGTTGAATGTAAAAAGCATGGAAAAGCAGGCCAATAAATTGAGAAACAAACTGTAAGAGACATAAAAGCTAATAATAAATTATTTTTCAGACACACCAAGAGCAGGAAAATTGCCAAAGAGTTTGCAAAGCCAGCAAATGAACAAGGTATAAAAATAGCACTCAGAAAGATAAAATCACAGAAGAAAATTAAATAATTTTTCTTTATCTGTGTTTGCTAAAGAAATCTCAGGAGGTTCTCACTGTGGAATAAAAAAAAAGGGAGAGAGAAAGAAAAAGAGATGATATTTTGGAGAACTTACATAAATTGAAGTGCCAGTGGAAGAAACTGTAGAACAAATCAACAAAATGTAGACTAACAATTCATCAGAGCTCACTTGACGTTAGAAATTAAGTGCTGTAACAGATCTGTACGTACGTAATCGGTGAATTGCCTGCCATAAGTGTAACACTCATAAAAGCTCCCCTATCCTACAAGAACAAAAGATACCAAGTAAAATACTGTATTCAACAGACTTCCATTAAGTGCTTAATAAAATACAGAATGGTAAATCCACCAGCATCCATCAGGCATACTGGTACTAAATTATAAGTAAAAAGAGAAATATTGAACACAAGCCTATGTAAGCTGAGCAAAAGTCATTGTGACAATTGTAACAGGAAGCCACTTTTCACAAATCCCCTGGACCTTTCTGAAACAGTTGATGAGTAAACAGGTGAGAGAGTGAGGCAAAATAATTTACTGAGATTTCCAAAGGACATTCCAAAATTCCTTGTCAGATGATGCTAAAGAAACCTTCTAATTAAACTGCAGTGTGGTATCGCATAAACACACGCTGTCTACAATAACAACCTTGAAACTGTTAGTGCTTCTGATTCCATTAGAACAAAAAGATTTCAGTAGAGTAGGCCTGATCTCTAATCTGCTGCTCATTAACAAGTATATGTCAGTGAAGCTCCTCACCAGAGGAGTATACTTGGTTCTGGATAGCCCACCCATAGTTTCTGGTGAGATGGCTATGCCTGGAGATTATCCCTTACAGCTGGAATTACAGAATCTGAGTTGAAAGGTATCCACGAGGATCATCAAGCCCAATTCCTGCCTCCACACAAGACCACTCAAAATTCAAACTCTGTGGTCTGAGATAAGTTTTAGAGAAGTGGAACTTCTCAGCACTAAATCCATCTTCTCTTTGGCACTCTTCTTTTAGTAGTAGTCAAATGTATAACTGTGGGCCAAGCACGAAGACAACATCACTACAGCAGAGTATAAGTAAGACTCTTCTTAGGAGTTACAGGCTCAATTCAGTCAGTTCAGCCAGGGCAGTGCAGGCATCAGGATGCTGCTAAGCATTTGATCGGGTCCACAGACTGAGTTCAGACAAACATCACAGCTAAAGTGCCTTGATTCCCCAGTTTAGGGAGCAGATCTGGGGCAGCACACCATAATCACTGCTCTATCACAACCCACTGAAGACAGAGGCACCACCTACAAGATCTTTGCCTGCAAGTGGCACTTTGTAGGTCCTTGGTCCTGAGTACTGTGCAGACAGTGTACTATTCAGAGTCTAGGTTTGGGTCCAGGCAGATCTGGCAAGCCTAGCTATGACTCATCCATTTTATTTAGAATCCTGTGCTCAAATTTTTTTTAGTTTCATAATAAGCCTCCCCTAAGTTAACTGAAAACTGCTAAACACATCTATTCCTGCTCCTGTTGTCAAAAATAAGGCAATCCTCTGTTTGCCTACGTTTTTGTTGGCACATATTACTGCAGCATACAAAGTGAAGCACAGTCTAAATATTTTCCAATTGTATTTCCAGAAAAAGCTTCAGTTTTGGTATTTTTCAGTGCTGTAATCTACCACTCAAGCCACTTTCTTTACTATATATTTACTTCTGGTACATATTAGCATTAGTTCTGTGGTATGGCGTGTAAACTTAAATATACAGATGAATCAGAAACAACTCATCGATTTGCTTGTGATTCTGGGAACACTCTCTGATTACAAAACTGAAGACTGACTCAAGATACAGCACTTCAATATCTTATAAAATTTATGAAAACTGCTATCGGAGACAATCAAATATTTCTAATAAAAGTCAGTTTTACAACCAATATTTCATCCAACTGGACTTACCTGGACTTACCTACTCAAAACTTCTATTTTCTTTTTCTAATTATACCCAGTTGCCACTTTGTTGCTCAAGCTAAAATTAATTTCATTGGTAATAATGTTCAAGAGCCATGTGGATTCAGGGTACCTAGCTGTAAAAATCAGGTTACATTTATTTAGTTGTATTAGTCCAGTTGCATCTGGCAAGTTTAACGCTGGATTCTGCAGCATTGGTCCCTGAACTGACTCTCTGGGCAACATACAAAGGTCGAGTTCTCAGAACCTTAGGGAGCATGAAGCTAAGTACATGCTAGTTTACAAAACCTTAGATTTGAAGTATTATTACTCTCAGCTTCCTGTTCTCAGTGGATTATATTTAATAGTGTTTTCCCATTCTAGGGAGTCAGGAGCTAACACTAGTTCGCTTTTGTTAGGTCAGGGTCAACCACCTGACTTTGCTCACTCAATACAACAGCCTCCTCAAGAAGCTGCTCAACAACAAAATACACACCATTTCAAGCCTGCTATATGCTGCTTTTCCCTGACTGCTTGGACTACTAAATATTCCATCGAGAAACATTAGATACGACACGGCTGTGCAGGAGTGATGGATAATGACATTAAAGAAACATTATCTATCTGCCTCAGATCTGTGTAAAACCTCTTTGGTTTATGCACAAACCAGGCTATGTTGCAATTCAATCTATCTTATGTCTCCTTCATGAAACACCATGGAGTGAAATACAATATTTATATTACAAATGGAAAACTTAGAGTTAGCCACGTCGAAGTACCACAAGAATTTCCCTTACCTTGACGATATGGGTTGGTATTTGAAGAGTATCCAGACAGCTTTCAGAAGATCTAGCTTTCCTTTGCACTAAGGGAGACAGAATAACATTCTTCGTTATTGGTACAGTACATTTCAGATTTACTTCATTAACAAGTGCAACAATTTGCCTAAGCCATTTGTTCCCAGATACAATGGCTGCTCCAAGTAGTAATGCCTCCTATTTTATTATGTTTGTCCGCAACATCTGATGTGGATGTTGGCGGTACGGCAGTAGAGGTTGAACCTTCCTTCAATATCCTGTTCCATTTTGTTGCTATGTGACAGATAGCAGCAGAGGGGCAGTCAAACAAAATGTGGTCTGACATAGAAGTGCAAATGAAGCAAAAATGTTTTATTCGATTCCTCCACAAGGAAAAAATGGCACCCACTCACATCCATTGATGCTTCCTGAACATTTCTGGAGACCAAACAGTGTATGTGAGCACAGTGAGGCTACAGGTGGTACATTTCAGCAACGGTGAAGTGGGTCACCTCCCTGGTGCAGATGGTTATGAGCACAGCAGGCTCTTGTTCACAGCTGGTACATACATAGCTCATGGTGGTGATCACACTGAAAAATAGTGTTTTGTAGTGGAGAATCTGCTCCATCAACTAGTACCTTTGTGCTCTTTTATCTGTTGCAGCTTCCACAGAAATAAATGAGACATTGCTTCCAGAGTGATCTATGTACAATTGATTAGCTCAGCAATCCGTTGTCTCAGTGCTTGTTGAAGTGCCACAAGCAACATGGCTTTTAATTTCTGTTCTGTCAGTTGTTGACAAAAACCACTAATGATAGTTAACTCAAGTGTTGCAATCTTTTACATTAATCAGACTAACACTTTTTCAGTGGTTCTCTCATTAATCTAAATGGTTAACTGCAAGCATTAAAAGCCAGACTGAGCCACGGGAAAATTTAACTTCTGGTCTACTCTCTTTCAAACACTTCTGCAGGTATAGAAATGCACACAACTTCTTTCACTGCAATCCCCACCTGATATACATGCAATCATCCCTGCTGCTGCCAGGTTCTGCAGACACATGAAGCACCAAGACTGAACTGAACACTGCTTTCGTGGTACAAAAAAATGGTTTTCTCAGAGCCTGAGAAATGTTGTTAGACAGTTAAAAAGCAAGTCTTGTATTCTCTAGCTGTACTTCTCCACAGATAAGCAGCACACCAGCCCATTTCACATTCTTCAGCAGTAGCAAAAGCACTGAACAAATGTACAATGTACAAATATTTCTGTTGGAGTACAGCTGTATGCTTGCTGAATGACAGTGCATAGATGCCTTTGAAGAACCTAAGAAGAGATGGGACACAGAATACAGCCCTTCCATGATTTCCTAATAATGCAGACAATAATTTCACCTTAACTATTCTAGAAATAGTCTTCTAGAGATAATTCAGGGTCTGACTCAGATGACTTAACCTTTCCACAATGAAAATCAGTTTGTGGTCTGTGAAGCTGAGGTTTTGATGCAAAATACACGCACAAGAAATCCTGGTTTTGGGTATCCATTTTTCTTACTAAGAAAACAATATTCACACTGCACATACTGGATACTGGATGATATTAATAATTTTTTGTTTTGTGAGGATGGTGAATAAAACCCAGAAAATTCTATTTTTGGTGGCGAACAAAACTTTTCTTAGGAAACAATTCACCTCTGAATTTTCTGTGGCAAGAGTCACATATTAACTACACTTCAATAAAGGAGCCCCACACGACCAGTGCAGCTGCATTTCACTACTGCACATTAATAGCATCTTCAAGCAGGCAATCTGTTGTCCTGCTCACTTGTCAGTTGAACTTGCTTTCACACCTTTGTGAAATACGTTAACTCCTCATCAGCGACTCGACTGTACTTGCCAACTACCGTAAAATGTTTAAGAGAATACGCCTCTTATGTTTCTACAGAGCAGGAGGCTGAAGTCCTGACATAGGTCAGTCTGGCCAAAGAAAAATTAGACTTTAATAAAATAGGCTACACCAGAAATAGATGATTGAAGACTCCTATGTGCACGACAAGCTATATGTGACACGATCCAAAGCTTGCTTGTCACTTAAGACAAAGGCAAGTTGCCTTTCCTAATGTAA